CCTGCTTTCTTACATCTGTTTCATTTCAGTTGAAATTACTTATTGCTTTTCTGTATAGAAGATGCATATTGGTTCAGAAGGATACCTTTGGTTCTCTTATCACAGAAGTGGTAATAATTTTGGCACTTAAAAGATTCCCATCAATGCCTCTATTGTAGCTGTGATCTCTCTTTGGTCAGGCTGTGTGTATGGGGCAGCTGATTCTCATCCCCCTTCCCATCGTGTTTCAGCTCGTTGGTGGGCTGGAAGATACATAACAGCTCTGGTTAAAGCAAAGCCAGAGATTTTTGCCTTTAATCAAGTGTCTTTGAGAGCAAGGGGATTTAGATGTGAGTCTATAGTGCTTGTGCCTTACTCTGGCCCTGTTGGCTGGATGACAAACACGGGAACCAAAATATTTCTTTTTTCTTTAAAGATGATCAAACAGACACCGCCACCACAAACCCCTATTTTGTGTACTACTTGCTTTCTTGCTTGCTTATCAGCTGTCCCTCACTACCTAGCTTAAACTCTCTTCTAAGCCCTATTATACCGCTATTTCCATCAGCAGGGGAGTAGAAAGAAGGAAATGCACAGCAACTGGCTTTCACATGTAATTTTTCTCATTAACGATGGCTGTTGGCCGTAAAATGACAGGTCTGAGCCCACAAGGACGTTTCTGTCCCAGCTGCTTAATCATATTGGACCAGCACTTTCTGTGAGTGCAACATCATTAAAAGTTAAGAGCAATGCTGCTGGGATGCTATAGATTAGCAGGGTTTGTGTTGGTGTTAAACGGCCTAATAATTCTAGTTTTAAAAGATCTTCTTGCCTGGTGATAACTTGTGGCCCCAGAGATTTTGGGGTGGGATGGGGAAAGAAAAACAAGTGCCGTTCTTCTTGCTGTTGTTGCTTGTTATTTTTAAGCTTAAAAAATTCAGTTCGGGCCCATCAGTGCCATGTTTTCTTAACGCTGGTTCAGTTCGGGGGTGGGAATGCAGTGAAGTGCTGCTGATGGGGAAGAGCTAAAAGACAAAAGCTGTTGCTGTAACCACACAATTGGTCGTTGTTCAGTTGATGACCAGGTTATGCTTATTAAGCACATGCTTGTGTAACAAGTTTGCTGTTTCAGAAGTGTCACACTTGTACTTTGGAAGATGGAAGAGAAATTCTCAGGCACCCATTGCTCCTCCAAATCTACAGCACTCAGCCAGAGGAGCTCTGGGGGTGCTGGTGGTGCATGCACAGAGAGCGCTTGATTGTCAGGGTGGTCCTGTCTAGGTGTGTAAGAGCAAATGCACGGTCAGTGAGAATGTGTTGCTGTAAAAATGTTACAGCATAGGCATGTATTTCAGATCTTCCTCATGATTGTAGGGGTCTGTTAAACCTATAGAAGTTTTCTAACACTCCAAGGGGCAAGTGTTTATCAAGTGGAGGATTTGAGATAAATCAAATTTTTAAGGTAAAATCAAGAACATTGAAGTGGAGTAATAAACATAATGATTTGTGAAAAACAAAAGACTTGGATAAGGTGAAGTTCTGAAAAAGTCAATAGGAAGGTGTCACCTTTCTAAGATTACATGTTTTCTTTTAATAAGGAGACATAAAATCAAGATTGAGTTTCAATATGATACTAACAAGAGTGTTTCAGACTTGTGAAGATGATCCAGAATGAACTGCAATACTGAAGGTTTGTAGTTCCACCAAGAGGGATCCCATACACCAGTCCTGAGCAATGATTTTTTTTTTTTTTTTAAATTTTTAATGTCGTCTTCTATTGATGCTCTTTTGTTCTTCTTCGCAGGCCGTGGAGCTGCAAGGCAGGGAGGCAGAGCTGAAGCGGCAAGAGGCCTTCTATAACGAGCAGTTGGCCCGCATTGAGAGGAAGGTGAGGCTAAATTGCCTTTTATTGTGGCCTCTGAATGCTAATGGGATCAGATGCGGATCTTCCTGGATCCAAAGAGTTGCGAAACAAGAAGCATTGTGACGAAACCTGGAACTGTCAGCTCCCGGTATCTGTCTGCCCCTCACCCCTTACTTAGTTAAGTGATGAAAAAGCTGTACAAACCAAATCTTTTAAACAGCTCATATTTGAAAGATAAGGGGGTTTTAACAAAGATTTTTTTTAATAAAATAATTCAAACTATTTTGTTTTCACCATGGTTTTCAGGTGAAAACTGAGTTCAAAAATCAAATGCCCTTTTTATTCCTTCTGTTAAAAATCCTTTCCTAAATTAAAAAAAAAAGCGCCACACCACAAATCTTGCTATAAATATGAATTAAAGTTGTATTATTAATTTTCCGCTGGGGAGCCCAGCAGTTCAAAGGGTGGTGCTGCAGTGCACTGCCTGCTTCTTGCTGGATAAGCCTTTGAAATGAACATGATTTAAAGAGACACTGTCAAGCATCTTTTAAGCCTGAAATGACCTTTGAAAATCCATTTAGGGATTTGAATCTCTCCCCTAAACGTGAGATTTGCTTCTCTGTTTAATTGTTTACCATGATGAGTTTTTAAAAATTGATGCCATAAAAATAGAAGCAGCCATGCTGTTCCTTACGAACTAATGCGTTTTTCACTTCCTGGCGAAATGAAATAATGTTATAAGTAGTCTTTATTTTTTAATAAATGTGGAGAATAATCTTCTCCAATTTAAAGCAATTAGACCCGCTGACAGGGAGTTGCATACATCTGACTTGTAGTTGTGTTATGTGACTAAAAAGAAGTGCAAACAATGAAAAAGGGGGGTTGTAAGGAGACAGAGAAATCAATCAGTTTTACTACCAACGTGTAGGATGATGGTGAATATGGAACATGGGAAAATTGCGGATTATAGAAATGGTTGAAAACTATCGGCACATCTCTTCCTCTTCTTATTCCCTGCTACTGCGTGATTGTCCGTACAGCATTTTTTTTAAGCCATTGATGGTAAAACATGCCCATGAGCAATTTCACATGATACAATTTTGCAACACTTTAATCCATACAGTTCATTAAAAATAAACTATTAAAACTACCACTCAGTGTTGCATTCAGATTTTTAAATTCTATTTCTAGATAATGGGGATTGTTCAGTGAAATTGCAAACAATCTAGCAGCTATCGTTCTAATTATCACAGTTGTCCATATGTTCATATGCAAAGGGAATTTTTGCAATTTCTTGGTCTCATGCTGTGTGCTTCTATTATATTCTTCTCTCTGGATCTGGTTTCATGGAGTGGAAACTGCAGAGAAAATTTGTATGTGTGTCTGTCCTTTATGGACAGAGGAGTGGGGAGAAGTTTGTGTCCAGGCTGCGTTTTCCTCTTTTTGAAGTCTGTTGTTGTATTTTGTGTTTTCCTATTGAAGTCCTTGTCCCTTGCTACAGGATAGCTTTTTAAACAAGGGGATGGATATTTTAGTGCAGGATCTCGGGGAGCAAAGAGGCTTGCCCGTAGTACTATTCGAACTGCAGAGCTGCATAGAAGCTGTGTTCTAGTTCTTACGTGTACAAAAGCAAGTAGATGAGAGGTTTTCTTTCCTCTCTTGAAACACTAGATAGTTTCTGACCCTTAAACACTAGCGTTTTGCTGGTAATAAAATAGAAGAATGCCTCCAACTGTTAGTTTAGATTGGAGTGGGAGGTGGTGGGGGCTAGAAGGGAGATGAGAGAAATGTACTTGAAACAGTGTAATAAAGCTTAATTGTATTAGTTTTGAAAAAGGTTTTCGATCTTCTCTGTGGATGATTTTATTCCTATAATGGTTGGAAAGATGGAAAACACAATACAGAACAATCTTTTTTATTAGCTGTTGCTTTTATATTATTCTGCTTTTATTTGTTGAATACACGCAGACCTTGACATATTTATTTATTTATTTTTCCTTCCACTGTGCTAAAACCTTCCAACTCTGTCTTAGATATATTTTTATATATCTATGTATGTATGTGTGTGTCTATATTAGAAAAAAGCTGTCAGTTAAGGGGATGAGGTGGGGAGGAGCTCTGAAACAGAAGTTTACTTTCTCCGCTGTTCTCAGAGGGGATGGTTATTTGGAGTTTGGTCACTGGTAGCTGGGAGGTGTTGGGCTGGGATTGAATGAATGTGATGGCTCAGTGTCCAGTTAAAGCTAAAATTCCTCCTTCTGAGGATCAGACCATCAGGAATTCTTCTCTCTCGTCCCCTGCTGTGCTTGTCTATAGCTCAGGTTGGCTTTGTCCCACTTCTGCGTGATAACAGCATTCAGCAGTAGGAGACTTGCAGACTTGTCTTTGGAGGATGTTTTCTTGGTAGGATGTGAAGAATAATTGTGTTCTGTACTCCTTACATGTAGTAGCTGCTGCACTGAATCAAACACAGAGACTGTCCTGTTTCTTCTGTCAGTGGTCAGTTTTCAAAGACTTTGAAGGAAGGTGCAAAAAGCCCCTCACCAAAACAAAACAACACAACAAAGATTTTTGGAGAACAGCTTTGTGAAGAGTATTCCTAAGTGTTGTCAGTCGGAGGCTGACGCCTGCCCTGCTGCAAAAGAGTTTATTTTCATTCAGTATTTTTATTCACTGTAATGGAACTTGGATTACTGCCATCGTTCTTCTATGTCTCAGGCATTTTTCCTGAAGCCTTGTTTAGCTCTTTGCCTCCAATATCACGTGACAGTGCCACAAGTTAACTTATATATTCTATAAATTCTCTGTTACCAGTTTCAAATACTTTTTTTTCATTTAATATCCTTTATGTGAAAGAGATGAAAGGAATTCTCTTCATTATTCATTATGTGTAGACTTCTGTTCCCTCTTTTACCTTCCCATTAAGCTGAGCAGTCCTCACCTTTTCAGCCTCTGCTTGTGTGGTTTTTTTTTCCAGTTTTCTCATTCTACTTGTTTGTCTTTGGGCCCTTTCCCCCTTGCAGCTCTGTCTTTGAGATGTGTTAACCAGAGTTGAACTCAGTAGTTCCCTTGAATGCAGTAGACTGTGTGAATAACATTATCCTTTTATTTTGTAATCTCTGAAAGAGTACTGTAATCTACTGGACAGAGCACAGAACTGGAAGCAAAGAACTGCTCGTTTTCTAATAGCTGTTTCTCTTTTGGGAGTTTGAAACAATTACTTAGTCCATCTATCTCAGTTATTCCATCTATATGATGGAATAGCTTATAATGAGAGGGCAAAGTGATGTGAAACAGTAAAGCTATAGAAATGCTAAGAAGACTTTGCCTTTAGTTTTACATGAGATGAACTATGGGTGTACCTTATTTCAAATAGATCTTGAGAAACTCAGTTTCTCTAGGCAGTCTTATTAAAATTTTCACAGGAAAGGACACATATGAAAAAATAATTTCAGTATTTCAGCTTTTGGACTTTTTCCTACATCTACTAAAGCACTGGAAGAAATAAGATGGTGAGTGCAGCAGTGCTGTGTCATGCTAAAGATCCACCTAGTTTAATATGTTGGTCCTGACTATGGATGTCCCGGGATGAGCATAAGATCGGGGCAAGTATGTGGGATACTTGCCCCAAATGCTTTGATCATCCTGACTGGTCATCTTTGAAACTTTTCCGAATCATTTTAACCCTTCATGAAAGGTGTGAAACAGAACTGTGCATGCAGTGCTCAGGATATGGGTGGACCGTGAATATATATGGTAGCTGCATCAGAATCACTGTTTCGTTCTCTATTTGTTTGTAGTGCCTGACACTTGATTTACACTTCTGACTTGTGTTGAGCAAATGCCACACACTACTGCTACTAGCAGCGTTCAGCTGATTTGGGTGCAGATTTGAATGCATGAAGTAGCTGTGCTGGGATTAAACCCATGCTGTGATTTGTTGTTGGAAGGTATTCTTCCCACTGCACCCTTTGTTACCAGTTTGTCAGGGGTTGTGCGTATGTCAAGGGGTGGTGGGTTTCGTTCTGCCTGCAGTGCAGTGCATGCTCTTAGAATTTTTAGAATCAAATTTTATTGAGCAAATTCCTTTCAGAGGATCAGAACACTGGTGATGCCCTTGGTCTTCCTCACTAACTGGTAGTTTGTTGTGGTTGTGTATTTCAATCTCTTGGGTTGTTTGTGTGTTTTTGTTTTGGAGTGCCTGAAGTATTTTAGTAATTATTTGGAAGATTACAGGGAACAGATCCTTTAAACTGACTATTTCTTACATGACTGTGTGTAATTGCAGGATTTTGGAGCTGGCGATACAGACATTCCATTCCACACCTGTGTTTCCAATGTGACTGTCTAATCTCCAAGAAGTAATCCATTAATGAGACCTGGATAATTTATTATAAGCAGTTAAACTTCTAACTCTGACTTGTTAGAGTAATTTTACATCTCATCTGTGTAGTTTGGAATTTTTTCACAAAAAGTGGGTCATGTCTGAACTGTTTTGAAGGAAGATTTGTACTGTAACGTTTCTCTCGGTGGAAAGAATGAGAGTTGGACCTAATAATCTGTAAGGAAAACCTTAGAAACACTCAATTTGAGAAGCCTTAAGCTGATGTTCTTTCATGCATTTATGTTACTGCAAAGCAGGGAGGGAGGTGGAGGGAGCTTGGTATAAACAGTTAACATATGTACTGCTCAGAATTGGGATTTTTGTTAAGAATTCCATGTATACATTGTCCTGCATTCTCCAAATGAGAAACATCCTTTAAAACATGTAAGAAGGAAACGCAGTCTCTCCTGGAACCCTTCAGATGCCAGGAGGTTTAACTTAGCATGTTAGCTGTGTACTTTCTCCCAAGTAAATATTTGTTTGACTCCTTTTGCTGGGTTAAACCTGGCACAGGTTAAGGGCAGTGCTTACAGTGCAGCAAAACACAGGTGGCTCTTTGGCGTAGTGTGAAACGGCAGAGAAAGGCTGAAGGTAATCTCGGCAGATGAAGTGAAACTCCTTGCTATAGATAGATGTCTCT